TGTATATATATATTTATATATTTATATATACAATATATATTAATATATATATATATATATATATATATATATAATATATATATATATATATATATATATATATANTATATATATATATATATATATATATGTATATATATATATATATATATATATATATATATATATATATATGTATATGTATATCGTGAGGCCCTGTATATTTCTGGCGAGTATTTATATTTCTGTATTGCACATATCTTCCATGTAGAGCAACTCGTATCTTAAATGGGAAATATATTGTATACCAACTCCCCAGTAGTTTGAGACTGGCGGGCTGCGTTGGGCTCCACCTTGGGTATAGATGTCATATTGCTCCGGCATACGTTAATACTTTACGTACTGTACCATCCATTTTCTGCCTCTATTTTTCGTATCCTCCGATAAGATACTTCGCTCTCATATAGTTAACGTATTGGCATCAACTCTGTAGGTGTCTGGGGCTGGTGGGGTATTTTGGGCACCACATGCGTGCCGCCGGACTGGATACGTCCTTATTTGGCGCTACTGGAGGTATACGCGATGGAGACCTGAGCGACGACTATGACTGGGAAGGTGCAGGTAATCGGTCCTCTACGGATGATAGTACTACTGATGGGGATATGGATGAAGGTGCAGATATACCAGAGTTCGGTACTTTGCGTGGATACATCTCGGAGTTCCGCCCGACGGGTGCAAGTGGCTCGGAGGTCGTGTTGTCGGGTGCCACACACAGGCCAAATGCAGGGGAGTCAACCGTGGCCAGGCCTACGACAAGTGCAGTGTATTACCCCACACCCAGGTTTGGGTTGACGGATAGCCCGACTAGTCCGCGCAATAATAGGCCAGGTGGATATAGTCCCGAAACGAATATGCACTCACACACAGACCACCTACCTTTATACCCACCCGGGTTGACATACAGTCCCAGTGGTCCGCAACATTATAGGCCAGGGGACGGGGCTAGTCCTATGACCACACTTGCGAATGCGCTGGTGAATCTGGTGATACAAACTAGCACCCCCAGTGGGGATGCGGCCACTAGTGCGACCGCCGGTACGACAACCACCACTAGGACGACCGCTGATACGACTACCGCAAGGGATGCTGGCATCAGTACGACACCCGCTAATACAGGTACCACTAGCACGAACGCGGCAGATACGACGTCCACCAATACGACTACCGCAGATAGTGCTAGAGGTAGCGTGTCTAATAATCCGACAATTAGTACGACTGGAAATGTGAACAGGGCAACTACTTTCACCACTGGGGCCACCGGCAATGAGACTACCTACGAGGAGTCTACCCCTCGGACCAACGCAAACACGGCCGAAAATACGACAACCAATACGGCTACACATGGGCGTACGACTGCGGGGGAAAGTGCGAACGCACTTATGTACCCAGACGCTCACACGGTGGAATCCACGGAAACGGTTTCAAATACGTCTATACACGAATCACTGCCAGAGGCTCACACGGGGGAAGCTACGGAAACGTATTCAAATACGTCTATACACGAACCACTGCCGACGGTGCTGCTGCATATGTTCAATGTGCGGGAGAGGGCGCGGGAGATGGGGACAGCCGATAGTAACGACCGCGTCAGAGAGATACTGGAGAGGCTGCAGTATGCACACACCCATCCACAGACTCAGACCCAGACTCAGACTCAGACCCAGACACAAACACAAACACAGACACGTGCACAGATACAGACACAGGCACAGACAAACACAACGCGAGTGATACGGCAAGGCTCTGCGCCCATACTGACGCAGCAAGATGAGCACTCCATAGGTGGACAGCTGCACGCGCAAGGGGTTGGAGGGGAACTCAATGGGACACACACAGACACACAACTCAACCAGACACGTCGAGAGGAAGAAATAGAACATACGCATACGCACACAGGCACAGGCACAGGCACAGGCACAGGCACAGGCACAGGCGCAGGCGCAAGCCAGGCTCACACGGAGGTACAGTTAGAGTATATACACGGGGGTACACAGTTAAACCAAGCACACACAGACACACAGACACAATTAAACCAAGCACACACAGAAACACAGACACGATTGAACCAAACAGACACACAGACACAATCAAACCAAGCACGCACAGACACACTGTACGATGAGCGGTGGGCGGTGGTGTGGTGGTGGGTGGGTGATGACGTGTTCAGTACCGAACAGCGTGTGTGTGCGTTACGAGACACGTTTGCCATCCTGTACGCGAAGTCGTACGATAACATGTTTGGCGGAGGGGACGGGGACGGAGAGAGGAGTGCGTTAAACGGAATGAGACATGGTACTACTGGGGAAGTGGCTACTAGTCAGGGTGCGTTAAACGGAATGAGGCATAGTACTACTGGGGAAGTGGCTACCAACCACGAGGTACGGAGACAGTCGGGGGATGCCATAGTACCCCCTGAGAGTGGGGTGGGGCTGCACCCGCATAGTGTGGGTGTGGAGGGGCAGAGTCTAGCGGACGTCCGTGCGGAGAGTGCTATAACCATGGATAGTCGCGAGGAAGGGCGTGGGCCTGGCACACCCACCCACACGGCCACAGGCGAACAACAGCATGGTACTACAGCGATTAACCCAGTCGCACGTACATTTAGCAACAGTACAGCCGTATTAGGCACACATAGCATCCGTGCAGCTGCGGCCGTGGGTGCGGCGTCGGCCGAGGTAGATACGGCGCTGCACGTGCTAGACACCACCTTAGACACACTGGGTTCAACACTCTGCTCACTAGAGGCTCAGCACCAGGCCCTGGTGGCCGAGAATGCGCGCAGGGACAGAGAGATCCAGGCCCTGGAACACGAGTTGCTGGACTTGTTGGAGGACACTAATTCGGAATTGGGTGAGGATACTTCCGACACAAATTCGGAATGGGGTGAAAGTAATTCGGAATTGGGTAGTGCTGTGAACGCGTTGGATGATGTGCTGGGCAGTGAAGCGCAGGTGAGTGAGAGTGACAGCGACGGAGAGGGCATTAGTCTGTGGGGCCACACCGGCGTTAGTTCGGAGGCTGATAGGGGGTTGGCAGATTGGACTAATAGCGAGAGAGGGTCTGCACGAGGGGGAGCGGAGGGTGCTGGCAGTGGGGCGATAACCTGGACTAATGGTAAGAGGGGCTCTGCCTGTAGTACTGGCTATCCCAGTGCAGCTACGAGCTCGGGTGCTTCGCATAGTACCAGTACTGCCAATACAGCCGCAAGCACCGTAGACACTCCGACTGGCACGGATCCTGTCCCGTTGGGTACTCCCACACACACCGTAGGCCCAAGCATCGCTACAGACGGCTCTGGTACAACAGGTGTAGCCAACGCATTGAACTCAGCCCACGCCCTAGCCACGAGGGCGGGTGTGCTGACATCACTCGAGAGGCCGCAAGAAGACCCTACAACAGGTGCAATACACCCCCTGCACCCGTTGGTGGCTACGCCCCTGTCCCGGCCCTCCACCCATAATTGGGACAGGGCCTCGGGGCCGCGAGAAGCACCGGACCACCAGAACCCGGACAATACAGACAGGGCACACACCACTTCCCACACGCACACACACACGCACACGTTACAAACCACTGCGACGTTGCTGGAAACACTGGAGCGGCGCAACGCAGCTCTCCTGGCACGCACCACACAACAGGAACTGGAGACGGCAGCACTACAACTGGACACGGCCCAACTGCGCACACAGACGGTCGAGCTACAACGGTCTCTGCTGCAGCTGAGGGAGGACAATGCTCGCCTGGATAGATGGGAGGCAGACCTAGTGGCCCAGAACATGCACCTGGAAATGGCGTTGGGGCTCAGTAGGGCCGAATCTGCCCTTGTAAGGATGAACGCGCAGGGGCGGGTGGATGAGGCCGAGCTGCTGAGAACTTGGGCGCTGCAGACGCTGTCACAACGGTATATATATATATATATATATATATATATATATATAATATATATATATATATATATATATATATATATATATATATATATATATATATATATATATATATTA